CAAGCAAAAGGATTAATATCTTCAATCTATAAAGGAATTCTGTCTTTTAAAAAGTAAACAATGCAATATTTAGAAATGGACAAATGATTTGAACAGGTACTGTCAAAAGATAATGAACCTAGGGAGGGGGTGGGGGCAGGGGGGAGAAATAAACCAAGCCTTGTATGCACATATGAATAATAAAAGAAAAATGGAAAAAAAAAAAAAGATAATGAACCTGTGGAAATAATTAACATCATGGAAATGTGAATTAAGCAACAGAGTGAGATTCGAGATGAGTACCCCTTGTCAGAAATGCATAGAATCAGAAGAGTTTTAGATTTTGGAGTTTTGAAATATTTGCACAGCCTGAATGAATGGCAGCACATGCTATAGATTTTCAGATGAAGAATACTCAATCTGCACCATTATATGCACATTTTTTTTTTTTAAAGCTCTAGTCTGCAATGGCAAGCATGGAGCCTTCTGACGCTGCTGGTGAACAAACTGCATGATACCTAAGTGTTTTGGGAACGTATTCCTAGTAAAGATGAAGATGCACGTCTCTAATGACCCATCAGTTCTGCAGAGATCATATATTGTGCAATAGAACTTTTACACAAGCGTGCTCATAGGGGTTTTGTCCATAATAGCAAAACATTTGGAGAAACTCCAATGCCAGCACACTAGAAAGGACACGTAACTATGGTGTAACACGATGGACTAGCGCAGTAACAAAGACCCTCAAGCATCAACACGAATGCCATCGTTTGGATGTGTTTGGTACCCAGTGTGGTAGTATTGAGGTGCTGCAACCTTAAGAGAAGGGTTACTAGGTACTCAGGCCATTGGGACACTGCACTCAGGATTAAGGTAGTTTTTGTGAGACCCTTGTTAGTTCAAGCAAAAGTGGGCTGTCACTAAAAGGAGAAAGTCTTTCACCTTCTGTCTGGTTTCTAGCATCCTGTCTCACTATATGGCACATTCCTGCCATGATGCCATCCACCATGTTGTGATGCAGACAGGGCCCTTCACCAGAGGACCAACAAGTAGGGTCATCCGATCTAGAACGTTCAGTCTCCCAAACTGGCCTAAAAGAAACCTCTTTTCATGTACTCTGCTTCAAGCACTTGGTTAAACCAACAGGAAATAAGACTAACACAATGGGCAACTACCATGTTAACAAGTCACTAAAGAACACATGTAATGTTCTATTAAAATTTTATTAGATTGTATTTGTTAATGCTTACTTCTGCCTGCTTTTTTAGACTGTTAAGGAATGCAGGTGTCAATCAGCACTAGCAAACTGTTATTCGCTGATAAAAAGATAAACGCATGAAGAGTAAGCATGCTAAAAGCATTTAGAAACAGCTGACATTGCTGGTATATTCGTATTTACAAAAGTATCAGTTTGTGATGACTTGCAAATTAAGAACAAAAAAGTGAATGTGCATACTAGCACAACTGGTAAGATACAAAGAAAATAAAATTATTTTCATTATGAGAACACTGATAATCACCAGTGGGGAGATGTGGCCAGGAATGCATACACAGGTTTCTAAGATAAAGGCAACATGTTTCTTAACCTAAGCATCAGATAGCAGTATGTTCCTTCAAACTTTCTCTTTGAATTCTACATGTTGAATACCCTCTTCTGGATTACGACACATTTCACTACTTTGAGTTTAAAAATCTGTTATAAACATAGGATTAACTCTTTAAAATATATACAAATAACTACAAAAAGAACTGAAATACTTTTTTCTTGCAGTACTGGGGTTTGAACTCAGGGTCTCACACTGGCTACCACTTGTAGCCATGCCCCTGGTCACCCTTTGTTTTAACATAGTGGTGTTCATTAGTAAATGACAGCAATGACAACAGATGCCACACCAGTGTTATTTCTAGTACAGCTGAATTTTGGAATCTAATTCCTAATGATGGTTCCCCATGAATAAAATGGAGATGTGGAATGGAGAAGAAAATAACGTCACTTTATTTTCCTCCAGGATTTGGAAACTCCAAGATGAAAGTCACTTAGGAGATCAATTATCACCTTTATTGTTAACAAAGTTAAAAATATGCTTTTTTAATTTTTCAATACTGGGGATTGTGCATGCAGGTGCTGTACCACTGGAGTCACACCCCAGCCCAAGAACAATCTTTTCAATCTGTTCCAACAGGGCTAGGATACTCCATATCCCTGAAAAGAGATTAAACCACTCAATTACTGTCATAGCCACACAGCCATCAGCATCCGCTGTGAGCAAGTCCTCCCGTAGCACCCTGCAAATACCTTGGACCCTTAGAGTCCTATTTCAATACTTGTGCTAAATTAGTAGCTCATATTGCTATTCTATCCCCACCAACTCAGTTATGTTCCTGGAGGTCAGAATGCCTTTTTATTCTAGCAGGCTATCATGATGGTGACAGATGAACACTTTCATATTTGTGTTGCATATTGTTTTAAGAACCAGGTGAAGAGAAGTCACAATAAAAACTTTAGGAACTGAAGAAATATCAGAGACTAGATAAAAAGATAGTCATTTAGTATATGTGAGGCACTGGTACTAAGTGTTTCAAAAATATTTCATCCTCATAAAAGTTATTTCCTCAGTAGCATATGAAGAAATGAAAATCGTCAATAAAATCACTTGTGCAAAGCTGCCACAGTGATTCAACTTGGAATGCCTCCAGAGTCAAAGCACTGATCCACTAATAAGCAACAGTGCTATCAGAGATCTGTCATGCATCAATAGGAAGGCAACACTACATGGTGACTGGGAAACAGGGTCAGGAGGCGGACTATGCTCACATCTCAACTCTACTAATTACTGAGCACTATCTGTAGATTTCTCAACCTCTCTATGCCCATGAGTCCTCACCTGTAAAATGGGAGTATCTCTACGAAGGGCTACTGCAAAGAGGTAATGCACCAACAGGAAAAAAATAACTGATGCAACTGAGTACTATACAATGTAAAGGTAACTGACAAAAATTATGGTCCTTTTTGAGCAACTGATGGCTTCACTGTCTTCCACACAGCTTTCAGCAGAAATGCAGAAGTCAGGAGTGAGGCAGTGGTGCTGCTCCTCTTCTTTACTTTCTTCCATCGTCTCTCAGATGTCTTAATGAAATACCACTCAATTACAAAACTCTTTTGCAAGCTGTGCTTAAAAGGAGCTTTAGAAAGATCTAAGCCCTGATTAAACTGAAGTCAGTTTGCTGAAAACTTTTTTTTCCAAGACATTCATCAGTGCAATCCTGCAGAACCAACATGCATTACTTTAGAGAAATTTTTCTTTCACAAGTAAATGAAAAACCCTTTAGAATTATTTATATATTAACTTGTTTAATTCTTGAAAACAAAAGCCATAGGGTTGCTTTGTCCTATTTAACTATAAATGTTACATTTACAGATTGAAACCAGAAAAATGGATAGTACAGAGATTTAAATGAGATCTTTCAAATAATAAAGTTGCTTTTCAGTCCACTGAATCTCCACAGCCGATCATCAAGCCCAGACGAAAGCCAAGCGTGTGCCACAACCATGTATCTTTAATAGGAAAAAGAACTTAGATTATTAGCAAAGTAATATATTAAAATGTATCATTACCAAGTTGAAATTTTGGTATAAACTTGAGTATCAAGTCACTTTCCATTATTTATTTTACTTAAAAAATATATACAACTATGACATTCAAATATTCTGAGTCATATGTCCAAACATGAATATTTGAGAAATTCAAACTATTGCAACAAGTTATGAAGGATTACAGAAAAAAGATGAGCTACAAACTATGTTGTAAGAGGAAGAAAAATATTACTTACCATTTATATATAAGGAGATGTGTACTTTCTAATTTGTATGAACATTACCCAGTTGAGTACAGTCATCAAAACTTAACCAGCTACACAGAGACTAGACTAAGCTCACACTATTCACAATGAACTGGTGATTTCAGAAAGTTTAGTGTATCTCAATAGCCTCATCAAAAATTATTTATGGTGATAGTCTAAAATGAAGTTTTCAGAGGCAAAAGTTAAATAAGTACACTATCCACACCAAACTTGGCAAGGTCTACAGCTGACTGTTTAATTACAGTCCAAGTGCGTGAACACAATAGTCCATGGGCAACCAGAAAAAGACAGTCTACACATTCCCATACTTATCAGTCATATTATCCCTAGTGCTTAAAACTTCCAAATGGAGCATAACGAGCCACTCGAGATGCTGCAGGACAACTTCATTACAAGAATCCAAACACAGCTGAAAAATCTTAAATTTTTCTTTTTAACCACTGATAAATGTTGTTTATGGAATAGCTATTTGGTCTTCAGGAATCCTGAAGGGTTGAAAAAATATTCACATTTGCTACACTGTGACATCTGAAACTAGCAAGCAGAACTGCTTCAATTCATTTTGCTCTTACACACAGAAATATATATGTATGTATGCATTTTAAGACAGTTTAGAATTAAGAGTTAACTTCTAGTCAGTAATGGTTAAGTGACTAGAACTGCTATTCAATGTCCTATGGTATCACTTATCGAAGTCTGTACAATACAACAGTCTTGTTCAGTGCTCATCACCTTTAGGTGAAGAAGGTGGGCAGGGGCAGAAAAGCAGTTGAAACTAAAAACAAGAAAACCAACAAAACAAACCCAGCGGAAAAGCCTTAAACATCTACACAATTTTCCATCGTCTTATTCTACTCTACAATACTTGGAACAAAACCTTATTTTAATCAGCTCAATCTATACAAGTTACAAGACATAAATACTATAAACTCTACCGTTTACAGAATATAAACTAGTATTCATTAAATGAAGTATAATCAATAAAGATTACTAAATAGGAAACACACATAAAAGTCTAAGTTTTAAAATCATATTAAGGTTGCTAGCCAGAGACTGTAGAAAAAAAATGAGCAAGACAAAAACAAATACAGAGCCGGGCACTGATGGCTCACACCTGTAATCCTAGCTACCCAGGAGGCAGAGATCAGGAGGATCTTGGTTTGAAGCCAGTCTGGGCAAATAGTTCGAGAGACCCTATCTTGAAAAACCCTTCATAAAAATAGGGCTGGTGGAGTGGCTCATGGTGAAGGTCCTGAGCCCAAGCCGCAGTACAGCCAAACAAACAAACAAACAAACAAAAAACAAACCAAGCTAACTTCTCAGTGCATCTCACCCATGAGCATAAAATGTATGGCACTTATGTGATACTATAGTACAACTGTCAACTTAAGTTGTGAATGACTCGAGGACATTAAAGCCACATAAGAGCAAGAACTAGTCATTCCCAATGTTAAGTGACTCAGATCACCTTTCTTCTTTATAAAAAGTGTAATGAGTGCAGATAACTCAATAAAACTTTTCCTATTTCATTTGCTCCCTTGTAGTGTTTCAAATTATTTTTCAAATTATTGTATCTGTTATAACAGTCTGAGTGTTAGGATCTGTATAAAATCTATTAAGCTGTTTTCTGTGTGGTTAAGAAGGCCTTTATTTAATAAAGAAAATAACATAACTAGTTACAAATCATAAAATAAACCCAAAGAACAAAAACTGGACATTTTCTAAATTAGTGAGAAATAAATTATATCATGATATAGAATTAAAATTGTATCAACATTAACTAACATTTCTACAGTAGACTTTTCCCCCATAAAATTAAGCAGTGCAGAATAGGGCTCGGGCTATAGTTAATCACATTTGGTTTTTTTAAAAACACAACTTTATTCACTATAAACAATTAAAAGGCAGTTTTCTTCCTCCACACATATGTAGACATTGAAATCTAAGATTTTTAAAATATCAACTACCTATAAGAAAAGTACTCTTAAATGGTTAAAAGGAACCAGAACACCAAAGTTTAGTGTGTGAAGAATAGATATAAACAACCGAGAAAAAAGTAGATCACTGGTATTGTGTTTAACATGAACAGCCCAAAGCAGGTTCCAAAGTCTTTCCACCTTTACAAATAAAAAAGGTGTCTTTCGCACAGTTTGGGAGAATGCACTGCACATCTCTCCTGGGAAGTGTATGCATAAGGTTTTAAAATGTAGCCAATATTAAGTTCTTCAGTACCTACAGTCAGAGGACAGCAGTGACAGTGGTGATGGGCGTGGATTCTCAAACGCAGTTATGATCCAACACGAGTGGTGGTGGTTCTTTTGTCTGAGAAAAAGCTTTTCAGCAGGAACACCTGGCCTACGCTAACCACCAGAAGAATGAGGGCTTCCCCTACTGACCAATAGGCCACTCTGGTGTTTAGATCCTCGGCGCGGCTTCGGCCTTGAGCCTCTCGCAACCGGAAATGAGTCTGATAGTCGATGACAGACTTGAGAGCTTCGTGAATGGAAACACAGGCTGACTCCATCTGAAAGGAACATTCTCAATTAGCATGTTTAATATTTGTTGTATGCGCTCTCTAGCACATTCATCTTTTAATCTGAGCTGCGTTTTGTGTTGGTTTAACACTTCCACAACTGGCACTCACTCATTCATTCACTTATATATGTTGTCTTAGTAATGCGATCTATTTGTTCTCCCTTCCATTGGACAACGGGTTAGGTGAGAGACACCATGAAGCAGGTCTTTTCCCTAGCAGAGATGTCACAGCTGTGGCATTAGTAGATGGAACACTAAGCTAACAAAAGCAGAGATACTTATCAGCTAAGGTTGGTGACTACAAAATTTCAAGTCTAGATTATTCAAATAAAAATTATGAGGAAGAAAATGGCATGTCAATAAGTTCACCACTGTAAGAATGTAAGTCAAAGCCAAAATTATTACAAAAGTAAACCAGATGAAGCTTAAAAACAAATCGAGTTAGTCAAAGTTACTTTAAGTTATTTTAAAAACAGGTATAATAGAACCAGAGGCATGGCTCCAGCAGCAAAGCATCAGCTTTGCAAGCATGGAGTCCTGATCTCAAGTCCTAGTCCTACCAAAAACACAACAGGAACAACAACAACAAAAACCCAGGTACAATTATTTATCAAAATCCTTAAGCAACTTTTGAATCTGGAAGTGATCAACAAGATCAGAACAGGAATGTCCCGCCCCACTTTTTTAAAATAAATCTATTTGCTAAATCAATCTCCCTCATGCCTGTTAACCAACCAAACCAACACATACACACACACACACGTTCCCAATGAGATAGTTTTACTGTGCAATCAGCCTGTGAGCCTCCATCTGGTAACTTTTTCTTAAGCTAAAAACTTGACTCTAATGATGAAATCCATGCTTTACTATTATTTTATCTCACAAACCACGTATTAAGAAATTCAAAAATGTCTATATACCTTTACCTATATATAGAAATGTCTATATACCTATTCACCTTTAGTGAAGGTATATAGACATTATCTTAACATTTAATGACGTTCTATCCTTGGGCATGGTGGTGCACGCCTGTAATGCCTGCCCTTGAATGGCTAGGGCAGGGGGATCACAAATTTAAGGCCAGCCTGAGGCATGGGGCATGGAGCACAACCCTGTCTCAACCTCTTCCACCTCAACAACAAAAAGAAGTTCTAGTATGAAAGGAATAATTAATGTCTAAGAATCTCTTGAGGTCTGCCCGGAATATAGTCTAAGAAATGATGGATTAGAGAAAATAACCGAAATTAGGGGACCAGTTACATGGATTCCTGTAATGTCTGAGATATGTGGATATTTTTAAGCTTTTAAAGTGGACATTTTTATATATATTCAAAAGTATAGAGAAGTATAATGAACCCCGTGTCAGTAATAAGTCCTCGTTATCTTGTTTCAACTACATTTACCACCTAAGTTCCCCAATTATTTTAAAGCAAGTATCAGATATTTTATCATTTCAGCTACAGATAGTTTTCTATTTCTAAAAGATAATGCTTTTAAAACTATAACCCTGATGGCATTAAAATGCACAAAGTAACTAAAAACTGTCCTATAGAGTCATCAAGTATAAAATTAAGTATGTCTCAAAGTTGTTTTCCAATGAGAACTCAAACAAGATTAGCACTCAGGTGATATATTTTTAAAGTCTTCCTTAATTTTTAGGCTCTCTTTCATCTTTTTTCTTTTTTCCTTGCCACCTATCTGTTGAAGAAAGTGTGTCCTCTAACTGTGTCGTTCCCACTTCCTGGATTTTGCTGACTGCTTCCCAAGGTGATCTCTGTCCTCCGTATTTCCCGTAAGCTGGCAGTTGGACGTAGAGACTGGACAGGGTTCAGGTGCAGTGTTCTGGGTGGGAACATTTCGTAGTGTTAAATACTGCCTACCGCATATTTTCACAGGCACATAATGATGGTTACCTCTCCATTTGTGAATGATTGCTAGGTTTAGGTAACATCACTTTGATTTGTCCATTATAAAGTTTCCTACCAGCTTTCCACCTAATGATTTTAGCAATGACTGGTGATCACTCCCTATTCTAGATCCATTACTTTATCAATGGGTAAAAAATGGAGATAGTAAGACATATTCATTTATTAGCTGGTAACTTTTTCAATTTTAAAGTATGATCAACTGCTATATGAGAAATATTACTACTATATGAGAAGTGTATTGACTTTATGAAAGCAGAAAATGTAATGAGTAAAGGAGGCTACTTTACCACCACTCATTTCGTGTTTACACACGGAGGCTTTTAAAGCACTACCTTCCTATACAAGAAAAAAATCCACTAAGGAATAGTAACAGGTTAAATTACAAACAACAGCTCCAAACAAAACCCTTTTACAAAGCAAAATACCAAGGCTGGGATGTAGCTCAGTGGTGAAGCGCTTGCCTAGCATGTGCAAGGCCCTGGGTTCAATCCCAGCACCAAAAAAGAAAAGACAAAAAAAAAAGCAAAGTACCTTTTCACACAGAATCCTAAAGAGAACATTTCTAAAAATAACAGCAATTTAATACATATTGCTAATGTTTACAACAGGTTTATGAATTAAGGCTATAATAAGACATTCTTAAAACTGCCTCTAGCAGTGGACTTTAGCCAGAAGACTAAATGGAACCCAGATACACTGAAATACCAGTTTGTTTTAATAAGCAGGTGGTAAGTAATTCCTTTTGATGCCTAAGTGTCTTTTAGATATTATCTTAAGTTCTACTGTATTTGAAGTGGAAATAAAATGGCCTGCTTAACACCTGAGCAAGTATCTGTTCAGCACCTTTAAGTTTCTTTCACTTATTAACCTTTCTTCAAAATAAAACCCAATTTAGCTTTGATAACTGTTTACTAGATGACTTACCACTAATTTCCAACATTTTACCTCAAGTTATAGCAAAAGTTATTGTAACAGAGGCTTGAATCACACTCAGTACTGTGTAAAGACCACTGTGTGGCCTATGTACACAGCAATTTAGACATCACTGGCTTCCAACTTTACCACTGTACTAAGGTAGAGCAGCAACATCCTTCACAGATGACAGGAAGTGCTTCAGAACACCAGGGCCGCTTAGCCTTTCTAAATGCCCTTTACTATTGTTGATTCCATCTCAGTGACTTCTGCATTTTGGATCCTAAATGTTCTCCAAAGGTCCACATGCTAAAGGCTGGTAGCCAGCCTGTGACACTTTTGGAAGGTGGTAGAACCTTTAGGAAATGGGGCCTAACAGAAGAATGTTAGGTAACTTGGGGCATGCCAACCCTTCAAGTGAATACTGGGACCCCAGACCCTTGCTCTCTCTGCTTCCAGGCTGCCTGTTGCGAGTTGAGCAACTCTGCTCTACCATTTGTTCCCCACCATGAAGTTCCGCCTCTCCACAGGCCCAAAATCAACAGGGCAAGCCAACCATGGCCTGAAACCATAGCTAATTGTTATAATTTTAAAACCTTTCCTCCTGATTACTTCAGGCATTTTGTCACAGCAAAGAAAGCTGACTAATGGGGATCTTCTTTTTTTAGACTTGAAAGTTCATAAAATCTTAACACCAATCTCACTATAAAATTCTGAAGTTCTCTGTGAAATAGCTAGTCTACTGTAAGAATGAAGATAGGTTTTAAAGACTGTGTTAAAGTCTCACAATTCTACGTCAATCAGTGAGTCAACGCATGATATTATACTTTGCTAACTTTTCATTTACCTGGGTCAGAGCACTGACACGGTTCTCACTAGGAAACAAAGGTGGGTCTTCTCCAACTTGGAAATCAAAATACACGGTTTTATGTGTGAAGGTAGAAAATTCATTGCTGAAACAAAATTTGTATGTCCCATTTTTGGAAGCTGTGAAGGTAAAACTATCGTACTGTTTCTTCATCTCTTTGTACAACACTTTACCATCAGGATCTTCTAATCGACAGTCTACATCATAGTGACCGCCAGTAATCACCTGCAACAGATAATAAAAAGAGATTACCACAACTAATGAGCTTGAGAAATTAACCAAGTTTCCTGCTAATAGGCAATAAAGTTACTGGCAAAGGACTTTTGTAGCACAGCCATTTTTACGTTTCTTGATTTTCACCAGTGGATGGAACTTGAAAGGCAGATTTCAGTTCAATTAAAGCTTTAGAAACCAAGTAAGTTTCCTCATGACAGGACACTTTTATTCACTTCAAACTAGTTAGACAACTTTACCATGCTATCATGCGCCTATGATATCACTTAACCTAAAAAGAAGGGTCAAGAAGAGGCCATCAGGTTTGAGGGTTCCTAACCACCAGGAGACTGGATGGTGCAAACTTGTTATTTCAGGTTTGAACTCTCTTGGCGAACATAATGTTGACATTCCACATCAGTAGAACAAAGAGGTCAAACTTTGGACTTCAAAGGAAGGTCTCTTAAGTGACCTTTTGTCACTAAGAGAGATGATGACTAACTATGTTACAAGATCATTTTGACAATTAAATGAAATATAATTATGCACTTAGAGAACTGTACAAATATGTAAATGTTCATATACAGATAACATCCTTCTACCTCAGCCTTCTAAGTAGTTGGGATTACAGGTGTGGGCCAGCACACCTGGCCAGATAAAATGCTCTGACATTAAAAAGATAGCATATTATCAAATGGGCATTTCCCCTTCCCCTTAAAAGTCAACCTTTTCTCCAGGAGCAAATGACGACTTCATTTTGATATACTCAGTTATTCACACTTGACAGTTGTACTTTAAATAATCAAATACACACATACAAACTATACAGGACCAGAACTGGTATTACTCCTCTTTTCTACAACAAACTTTAAAACAAATAATCTTACTTTAGTTAATAGTACGTCCTTTAAACCTGCCTAGTTACCTACAACTGGAAATGGGCATTCTCTCAGACTTAAGTGTCCCCACCTGTCCAAACAATCCCAGCAATCTCTTGGTCATACTGCCTCTCAAGTCTACCTCATCCCTAATCCACAATGCACTACTGTCACTAAGTCTTCTCAGGACCTATTGTCTTGTCCCGCTAACTCAGGGTTTCCCAACGTGGTCTTACTCCCATCATGTGCTAAACGAATCACTGTAAGAGAGGGCTGTGTCATCCTGCACACCATGTGTACCACGCTTAGCTTAGTAGCATCCCTGGTCTCCACACTAGATGCCAGTCGCAGTACCTGACAACATTGCAAATGTCCTCTGGCAGTGAGGCAAGATAGATAAGGAAATGATATAATAAATACTAAAATATTTAATAAATATTAAAAGGGTCAGACTTAGATACTTGGAATGATGAAGAACTGAAAAGCCAGAGCAGCAAGCGCCACTCCCACCTCCCTTTAGATGTTAAATTACAAGAGCAGGGAGACACATAGGGGTTTATCCACATCTGCCTACATCTTAAAGCTGCCAGACTTCTTGAATGGATTAGGGAGACAGAAAAATGAAAGACCTGTTTAGCTAATGCAGTTCTAAAAACACCTAGACATCCACTGTCCTGTGTTTTAGATAGGTCTAAGTCACCTCTATTGCCATATTTTATATAACAAACAACACCCCTCTTGGTCACCGAGAACCATCATCTAATGACTGGGACTGCCAGACTTCAATTTGATGTGTAATTCCTCAGCTCAGCACCTACAGAACCCACAGAGGGGCCTCCAGTTTCGAGCTTGTCTCCCACCCTTGCACTTCTAGCAGAAGGTGCTTTTTTCTTCTTTTAAGTTTCTCTCCACTTTTATCCCATTATACTAAAATAAATAAAATTTTCACCTTGTGAGACACCTGAAAATTCTTTTCACATTTTTGGAGCTCAAGTACTGTGATTTTGCGTGAAGACTGGGCATGTCAGTTAACAGAAGGAGGCAACTTTCATGTTTCTTCACCTCCCAATGAGCCCTCATTTAAAACATTTTGACAATTTACTGCGGCATATCAAAAAATCTAAATCTGTGTCCTGTGGCAAACCATTCCCCTGGACCTTCCTTGGGACAGACCTCTTTTGTACAAACCTTTGCTGATTCTATATTCTTAAAATATCAGAAAGACTTCAGAAGTTCTCTAAAGAACTCTTGCTTTACACCTGCACTGACGACAGTGGGAGTTCAACAGGGTTTGTTTGCTGAAGAATCACATGACTCCAAATAGCAATACTTACAAATCTACAGTTTATTACAGAAAAGAATACCGTACAAAACTTCACTGTGAAAGGCTGTCTCATTTCAAGAGGTCTGGAGAAGTCAGGTATGGGATCCTTTGTCTTCCCCCTGTGAAGTCTGCAGCCAACCATTCTGTCAAATCAGGAACCACCCAAATGTACAAAAAAACCAAAATAAGTGCCTGCCTAGCAAACATGAGGCCCTAAGTCCAAATTCCAGTACTGCCCTGTGCCGCAACATTTTCTGGTCACAAGGCATATGTAATGTCTCAATAGCAAAAGGGGAGCATGGCGGGGAATGATCCACACAGAAGAAACCAGGTGCAAATCATCAATGTGGATGTTGTAAAAAGAAAAATTGTTGACAAACTTGGTACAAACAATCCCCAAAAGTTGTCACACCCATAGTTACTATTGTTACTATAGCAAAACTATTGCTACTCAGTGTATTTCAGCACCACACACAAACTTCAGAAGAGCTCAGGCTAATTTCAGACCTGCTAGAAGTCTCACAAGCCTAACTGTCTAGGGTGCGCTTTCTTCTCTTCTCTTCCACATTTTAGAACAAATCCCACTTGTTATGCCAGCTAAATTTCCCAATGACTCCTCTTGCCAGCATTCTACCCAGTGTGTACTTCTAGTGCTGCATTTCACATTATATGACCAGGTGTCTATGAAAGCTACCTGAGGTCAAAGTAAGTCTTATCTTAGGGAAGCAGTATAGTAATTTAGAGTTCAACTTGGGACTCTACACTGATTTTGTTATTTCTAAGTTTGGCAACCTTAGGTCTAAATCTATTTAGGCCTCAGTCTCACCAGTAAAAAAGTAATTAAAAACTCTTACCTATTTCATATTGTTTTTCTGCAAATTAACTATCACATCTGAAACATTTAGCACACTATATACTTAACAGATACTACTTTTTAAGCTGTTATAGTACCCTGAGCACCATGCATAGGGTCTACACATAAAAGAATCCAAGAAATACTTACTGAATTCATACAAAGGTAAGTTCAGCTTACATATTATATTACAAGTCCTGCTATCTTTTTAGTGATCTGGTCCTAATTCATGAATTTAAGCAAGCCTAGGGGTCATCCTTCACTTCCCCCTCCCTCATCCACTATAGCCAAATCATTACCAAATGCTGCTGCTTTTTACCTAATACAGTCCCCCCGCCCTTTCATTTTTTACCCCCCCTTGATTACTACCCTAGTTTAAGCCATGATCACTTCTTGCCTGGACACAATAGTCTCCTAACCAGTTTTCCACATCCACTCGGAAACTTACCTACCTTTTCTGCCTGCATGCATTATAACCCATGCAGCTCCCAAGAATGTTCTGGTCATTTCACTGAACTACTTAAAACCCTGTGATAGCACCCCATGCTCAAGAAACAGGAAAATCCTTAACATGGTCAAGAAGACTACATGGTCTGGCTCCAGCTGACCTCCCTCCTTTGCCCCCTGTATTGCTAATCATATTGAACCTAAGGTCCTCAAATTCTCAGTATCCACTCTTACCAGAGGTTACACTCCACCTCCCTTAACAAAGTATTTACAACTCACCCTTTAAAGTTCAGCTTAAAAGTGATTTTTAAAGGCAGCCTTCGTGGATCTCAAAAACCAGATCTCTTACCCTCTAGTTACTGCTCTTTAGTTTTGATGGATGAGAAAGTACTAATTAGGAAGGGAGGGATGGGAGGAAAACCAAGAATGATGGCAGCGACCCTATTTTGGTCACTTCGGTGTCACCAGCACCTGGCACTCAACAGCTGGGTGGATGTTAAGTGAACCTACCAACAAAAACTGTCTGTTCTAGACGGTCGTCCAGCCTCTAACAGGTAGGGGCTACATTATTCGAAGTCCTCAACCACTGAAAAAACTAAAAAGCAAATGCAGTTAGACACTGGCAGCACTGCTAATCTGATTCAAGTGGAGGTGTAAATTACAATACTGGGCAACTGACACTGCATTACTGAGCAATTTCTTTTTTAATGCAATCTTTTAAGGGAGAAAGTCTAACAGGTCTTAAAATGAAGACCACTAGAGAATGCAAAGCAATGTCCCAACTTAGAGGAAGCACTTCTGGAACTCATAGGTCTTAACATCCGGTCTTAAATTCTAGCCACATAAACGCCCGACACTGGCTCCCCGGAGTGGGTACCGTAGGCTCCCGCCCGGACCCCGCCGGGCCCGCAGTACCTGGAACTCCAGGGTGCACTTGGTGCCTTGGGCAATGTCCTCGTAGAAGCACTGCTTGGCATTGTCGGGCAACTCGAAGGTGATCTCCGAGGCGCCCGCAGGCCCTGGCGACGACAGCGACAGCAGCAGCAGCAGCAGCAGCGCGAGCAACCTACAGCCCCAACGGCCCGCGGCGGCCGCCCAGCACGGCGCGGACCCCGGCTGCGGCATCCCGACGGCGGCTTCCTTGGAGCTGCGCGGCGACGCGGGGTCAAGTCTGCGCGGACTCTCCGCGCCGCAGGCCTCGGCCCCGAGGACGCGACTTACCGCCGCCCCAAGCCTCGGGGGAGAAACGAGATGAGAGAGCACGGCTGGGTTCCTGTAAAGGGCGCTGAGAGGCCGGAGCCAAGGCCAGCAACGAGCTGGGAAGCAGAAGGAAAGCCGGCAGAGGGGCAGCGGAAAAGGTCGGAGTAGCCGGAAGTGTGGCGAGGAAGGGGCGGTGACTAAGATGGACCCGGATGTGATCTCGCGGGAAGAGAAGTTGGAGTGCGTACGTGGAAGCACGCGTGGCGTCGGCCATGCCTGAGCACCCAGCAGCCTGACACTGAGGAGGCGGGGCCAGCGTAGTGAGTGGCGTGCGGGCGGGACCAGGAAGGGGCGTGGCCTGGGGTTGCTTAGGAGAGGTGCGTCGCTGTAGGAGTCACCAACCTGCCAAGGTAATGGTGGCTTTTGTCTCTGTAGGTGCTGCCTCGAAGTTCCCAGGGACTGATGAAAGACTCATTTTGCCTTAGGGGACTAATCTCTGGTTTCAGGGCACTTTGCAATTTGCAGAGATTCCTCAATAAATAATAATATTTGGGAAAGTCACCTTAGCAAAGAGCAGAGTGCAAGAGTTCTAATCCCCGCTCTACTGCCTCCTGGCCATAGAGCCTTGGGCCAGTTGTTTAAACTGCCTCCGTTTTTGCACTTGTAAAAATGAGGATAATAGTGTTAATTGCAATGGTGCAGTCTCTGATCAGAAGATTTCCAAATTCTTTGTGTCCCACGTGAAAGCACCATGGCAGGACACGCGGGTGTAATGGGATTTATTAAAAGTTAGGGAGAGTAATTACAAAGGGGGGCATGATGGGATCAGGTGGAAGCAGGGAGCAGAGAGAGTCTTTTTCTTTTCCAGGTGTTTTTAAAACGTATGCCAACCTATGGGAAAGGAAGAGCCTAGTGATTCCTAACCAATAATGGATGAGTGGGGAGGGCCATGGGTGGTCCCTGGGCTGAGGTGGGGATGATTTGAGTTGTCCCTGAGCTAAGATGTGAATAACCTACACACATTTGCAACTGAAAAGAAGGCTCAGAGAAAGAGGAATGTTCAACCTGAAATACAATATTAAGTCATATATGTTCTAAAAGCCCCAAACTTAAGTCTAGTCTGCCTTGATAGCAGTACCTACTATACATTTGGACTATTTCAAGGTTTCATCATCTGGAAAAAGCACCTAAAAGAGTGGTAAGCCCTAGATAAGCTTTTACTCGATAAATGTCTGTTTGGCCCTACTTATCATTAAGCTCTTTCCACCCTTCAAACAAGCTTTTTAATGTCTGTTTTACTGATGAGGAGGTTAAGGATCAAAAGGTTGAGTAACTTGTCTTTGGTCATACCACTGGTTTGTGTTGGAGTGTTTAAAAAATAATAGCAGTTAATAATAGTAGCTAACAGGTGGTATTTCCAGTGCTTTACACATTTTTTCATGTATTAACACAGATTAATTTTTTTAAAAAATAAATGTCCACGGTGGGCTCCAGTCATGGAGGGATAAGTAGAGGGATTTTTATGAGAAGGAAATAGAGGTGGATAGATAGGAGTTGGACAGGGAAGTGAGAGGTTGGAATGCAGCATATGAAGGGAATCTGCTCTGTGACCTGGGGCACCCAAAGTCTCAACAGTGAGAAAAGGAAAGAGGCCTGAAACCAGTCTTTAGTTGCTGGGAGGAGATTAGGGACACTGTGCTTTCCTGAGACTTGGGTCATAAAGAAACGCTGATGAATGGAAATAGACTGAATTTGAAATTAGAGAATAAGTGTTCTGTTTAGTCACTGTGACCCTGGGCAAGTAACATTGCTCTTTTGAACAAAACTCAATTTCCTGATATACAAAATGACAATACAAAAGTGAATAAGATTAAAATCACAATGCAATACATTATATAGCACTAGATAGGAAAAAAAATTTAAAGTGTAACAATGCCAGCTAAGTGTTTTTTTTTTTTAATTCATATGTGCATACAATGTTTGGGTCATTTCTTCCCCCCTCCCCCCCCAGCTAAGTGTTATAGAGCAACAAGATGTCTTAAGCACCACTAGTGGAAATGTAAATTGGTACAACCATTTTGAGAAGCAATATGGCGTTATGTAATAAAGTGGAAGATATCTGAATGTAATGAGTGTGTGTGTATGTGTATGTATGTTCTGGAAACTTCACCTTACATATACTTTACTGTACTTTAGGCAGTAGTTCTCAAAATATCCTTTGCAGACCCATGGGAACCTCTGAAACCCTTTCAGAGGATCTGCAGTTGTGTGAGGCTGGATTTTTCACCATATATTTCAACCAAAGCAATCATGAAAGTCTATCATGACAGACTGAATGTAAAAGAAGATGAGCACCCAGCTTCTATGAATTGAGATATGAAAGAGACTTATAAAAATACAATGCAATGCCACTTCTCGGTTTGGAAGTAGAGTTTTTGCAGATGTAGTTAAATTAAGGATCTTTACATGTGATTGTCCTGGATTTCGGGTGAGCCCTAAATCTAATGACTGGTATCCTTCCAAGAGAAAAGAGAAAGACAATTTAAGACACAGACACAGAGGATGCATGGAGAGGATGCTATATCAGGACAATGGCACAGATTGTCCACAGCTGCTGGGATCAAGGAAGAAGTCTTGAAACAGCTTTTCCTTCAGAGCCTCCAGAAGGAACCAGCACTGGTCAACACCTGAATCTCAGACTTCTGGCCTCCATAACTGCAAGAGGAGTTTCTGTTACTTCAAGCCACCAAGTTTATGGTTATTTGTTATGGGACAAATAACCCTAAGGAAATTAATGGAACATTAATAGGAAGCTCATTAGCTTGTTATTATTTTAAATGAAACTACTCAATAAATATTTTTAATGACTCATGTCAAGAATTTTTCATTTAATTTTAAAACTTTTAGTTTTTAAGATTCTGAGACCAAGAAATGTGAAAACTCCTGCTTTATAGAAACTCATACAGGGTGTGCTAGGATGGATAGGCAAGAATATTTAAATCCAAAACCTTGTAATAGTCCTGCTATAGGTCTTCAATGTCCCCCAAAGGTCCATATGGTAAAGGCTTGGTTTCTAGTGTGGCACTGTTGGAAGGCTGTGGAAATTTTAAGAGGTGGAGACTAGCAGGAGGTCTTTTGGTAGTTAGGGGCTTGCCTCAAAGAGGATTGTGGGAACTCAACCTCTTCTTTCTCTCTTCTGTGCTCCCTGGTCATGACATCCACATGCTCCTGCCATGATGTTCTCTCACCACAGGCCCAAGGAATGAGGCCAACGAATCATAGACTGCAACTGCAAAACTGTGAGGCAAAATAAATCTTTGCTCTTTATACGTTGATTGTCTCAGATAATTTTCTGTTGTGATGGAAAGCTAACACAAGTCCCAACTGGAAATATACCAAATATTCATTAACCTTGACATTTTTATAAAATGGGACATAGCATAGGCATAAAAATGAACAGATTATAGCTACACAGAATATCATGGTGGGGAGTCTTACAAACATTATGCAAAAGATGCTAGACAAAAAAAATCATACAGAAAATAAAGGCTGACAACAGGCAAAACTAAGCAATCCTGTTTTTCTTAATGTGTGGAGAAGCTATACCAAAAAAAGGCAAGGAACTGATTATAGTCGGGAGGATGGGATAATCAGTGAGGGTGGGGAAGGACAGGGACCTCTCTGGTGCTGGTGGTGCTCTTTCTCTTGACCTAGGTAGCAGTTACATGTATGTTAATATTCTAATTAATTATTAAACTTATACATGATTTAAGTGCTTTTCTGGGTGTATGTTGTATTTCACTGGAAAAGGAGAAAAATACTAGGTACGCTAATTTAATCATTATTGTGGGGGGAAAAACACCTTAGGGCAATCTGTACTTCTAGTGTACTGCACAGTAGGCTGTAGGTCAGCTGGGTAGGTCTCAGCTAAGCTTCCTCATCCTCTGGCCAGCTTGGACACTTGGCAGGCAACTTTGCTGATCTTGGCTGGGCTCATTCACATTTTGGCAGGATACCACTTTGGGTGGTCTTGCCTGCTAAAACTGAACTCCTCTTCCGTGTCTTTTACCAATAGGCTAGCCCAGAATTGTTCAGATGTTGGTTCCAGGGTTTCAGGTGAGAGAACATGCAAGGCCTTTTCACTTCTGCCTTGTTTTATTAACCAAAGTTGACAAGGCCAGCCCACATTCAATGGATGAGAAGGAGCTATAGAGAAACTTGACAGGGTTGTGTTGAAGAAGCAGATAAACAAGCAGGTGTGTACAACATACCACCATGTACACATATTGTATAGGTGATAGAACCATCTGTGGTAGGCTGTTGCTTCAGTGTCTGGTGCTGGAGCCTGAAGCCTGCAGGTAACATAGGCCAGAAGGAAAGATGAAGACGAAGTAGAAAATGGAGAAATGGAACCTTGGAGATGGGCTACACCTACAGTGGTTTCTTATTGCCTCGAGGCCCCCAACTTCTTTGATGATGGGAGAACTGTGGGAGAAGTTGGCTTTCTTCTTTGCAAGAACAAAACATGCCTGGGAGTCAGAGAACCTTCACACACAAAAAGGAATATTGATGGGCTGGAGACCTGGCTCAAGTGGTCAAGTGCCTGTCAAGCAAGTGCAAGACTTTGATGGGACTGTCACAAGGACTATTGCTGCTGTTTCATCACTTCTGTCATGTAAAATGTCTTCTGTGGCTCCCGTATCTCAAACCATGTAGGGAACAGAATTCTAGGAAGTAATGTTTCCAGCTTAACTAATTTTATTTTATTTATTTTTTCTTTTATTATTCATATGTGCATTCAAAGCTTGGGTCATTTCTCCCCCCTGCCCCCATCCCCTCCCTTACCACCCACTCCGCCCCTTCCCTCTTCCCCCCACCCCCTCAATACCCAGCAGAAACTATTTTGCCCTTATTTCTAATTTGTTGTAGAGAGAATATAAGCAATAATAGGAAGGAACAAGGGTTTTTGCTGGTTTGAGATAAGGATAGCTATACAGGGCATTGACTCACATTGATTTCCTGTGCGGGTGTGTTACCTTCTAGGTTAATTCTTTTTGATCTAACCTTTTC